TATCTGATGAAGCGAACCGAGATCTGGAAAGTTCAAAGAGGCTACAAATGAAATATTCAATAACTCTGCAAAATGCCACCAATGCTTCATGAAAGTTTTATGGTTACAAAAATGTTGCAGTATAATCTAAGCGGCGGAAGGCACTCCTGGCTTCTACAAACCCATCTATTTTTATCAAACAACGTGTAATAATTATTATCAAGGAGCGACTCCTATCGAAAATACAACAATTATCCTTCAAAGAAATTACTTTCAGCAACTACAGACTTAGTTTACCACTGCCACAAACTCACTGTCTTTAAATCTCTTCGAAATGCTCAGTCTTCGAAGTATCTCACAGTAGATTTCTCACTGGGACGTTCCAGACAGTCGGTCTTTGCCGACAACAGATACTTACTACTCCTAGATGACTGAGTCCTTATATACTTGAAAAAAGCAATCTAGAACATTCCATTACAAGCCCATAACACAACTACAGGGGCAGAAGTACATATTAATTACATAACCTTGTGGGAAGTTTTATAACGTTCCTTGGTATAATATCAGAAATTCGCGTGTGTACATCACCGTTAGTAAGGTTGCCAGAAATTTCAAGAAAATACACTTTACATTTACAATTCAATTATATACAGTCTACAAATGTTATATCAAAGACCCAGATGTAATAACCTACACGAATTCGATTGCCGCGGTTGTTGGATGCAGTGTTATCCAAAAACATTGCAAAAAAACATTGTTTCTTTTAGGTGACGACCGAAAGAGATAAAGAAGACTACGAAGCAGAAAGGAAATATAGAAAATCAGAAACTGTATGATGGTATGGTTTTGCCGAGACTGATGGGTCTCTATCAAATGCCGAGTGCACTGGCTTCTCTTATCTTATAACCCTTTAGAGCCCCCTCTTCCCACTCCGTCCAAGAAAAGTGCGTCTCATGTTGCCCTGTGCGCCTTATTTGTGATAAGAAACAACAAACATATCTCTTTTGCTGTCAATTTGGGAAAGGTAAGAAATTCTTATGACCAGAGACAGAGCTTACGCTTTAGGTTTATCGAAAATGTAGAAGACGAAAGCCATGATAACTTAGATGCTCAATGTCTTTGTCAGTCGTTGGTCAGTAATGACCGAATTGTGGTCAGACGCGGTTAAAATTCTGCAAAATGTATTTTGATATCGCTCTTTCCATTCTCAAAGTTTTGCAGGGAAATGAACAATTTGGTGAACCAGCAATATCACTTTGCTGGCAGTAACAGACGACATTCCTAACTGGACAACAACAACTTTTAAGAGCCGGCCGACCTTGCTTTGTTGAAAGACTCCAAGTTCGAGAGAACTGCGGAGAGCCCTTGCTTTGTTTGAAGACTGCGAGTTCGTGAGAACTGCGATAGTGTAGAATGAGAATGTGGGTATTTCATCGATTTCAATAATGGGATTTATAGTTAAATGATGAAAGCGTCAGCTAATCTTAGGAGCAACTAGACAAACTATAATTATGATTTTTCCTCTTGTTCAGCGTGTTAGAATTTTAATTGGATGTAGTATATCAGTTCTTTCATCTGGCACTCTTGAAGGCGGACTATACGTACATGTTATTTCAAGAAATGTACTTTCTCACTCTCTGTTTCCACGTCTAACACGAGTAATGTGTCTCCAAAATCTGAGGCATTCATATCTCAATAAGTATGCAGTTTGAATGCTTCGTGATCGAACGGTAGGCGACGATTTCGAGTCATTAATGGAAATGAAACAGATGAACATTAAGGGAATTGTGCTCAATGGATAAGAGGAATGAAATGCATAGATTCTAAGCCTTAAAGATAAAGGAAAAGGTAAGAAAAGGCAATGTAGGGAATTTTATGGGGACCCTAACTGTGGGCTACTTCGATCAGTTCTCGTCAATCCGTCGATTAAATTCTACTCAAACTCATTAATGATACCTAGCAATGCTAAAATTTCCTTCACTATTACGTGATCGTCGTCAGTTATTTAACAAACTCGTCTTTTAAACACGGTCATTTTTGATCACGAGTTGTTTCGAACGAAACCTCGCACCTCTCTATTTAATTGATTGCTCTAATAAAGCAAAAGAAATTACCTTGCAGCCATTTTGACACATCCGTATCTGGCGGGGCAAAGAAGATGGTTCAGACCGCTAATAAACATATACTGAAATATCAAATGCTTCAAAAATGAATCAGTTAAGCCTCCGTTGCTATCGAATTCTTATACCTAAAGGCCCTTTAGTCTTTGGTTTCAGCCCCTGGATGATCATATTTCCTTTATGAGCACATTCTGCCCTTTCGATGGCAAATTGCTGTTATATAAGAATAACAATAGCTCATTCAAAAGAGAGCTTTTGGTTTAATTAAAAATGATATCGACCAGGACTCCAACGGTATTTATCCCAAACCAGTCTGCTCGGCATGCAGTCTCGAGTCCGGAAAACTCTGATCAAAAAACCTTATTTTGACTTCAAAACGATATTTTTTTATGGACAAGTCATTATGAACAAGGCTGCTCTTGTGTGGGAAAAAAAAAAACTAGATGGCTCCATTCAAATCAAGAAAAGAAACAACTGACGGCCAAAGCTGCTTGAATTATTTTCTCCGAAGTTCACGGAGAACTAATCCTGATACGAGACAATTCATTTAACGTTGATGTGTAAGATGATCGTTAAGATGGTCGAAAAAAGATCATTTCATCGACGAATCTTCGGTCGCTACCCTCGACGGGGTGTCTTATCTAAATCCCACCGGAAGCAGATCAAATTATGTTAAAAAAAAAAAAAAAAAAGAAATAGATAAAAAAAGAAACTACAAGAAAAGTACATGTACGTGCAAAACATTGCGGGGTGCAAGGATGGAGATGGCATGTCTGTTCAAAATTAGATTTGCCATACTATAATACAGAAACAAGTGGGTCAATGATTTCTTTCTTGAAATTTGTTGCACTTTAACTTCTCTTCAAATATCTTAGGCGGAAACATTTAACCTTTCCGGTAATGTTAAATGTCTCCGCCAAAACCTTCACTTGTAAAAATCCGTAGCTTGTAGCTATTGTATAAGTATGAATCAATCAATCAGTAATCATTATATTTCATATGAAACGCACGAAATTGCAGCTCATTCACCGATACCACAATGTGATATTCAAAGGCTCCGTTAGCTTTATTGGTTTAACGCAGTAGCACTGTCTCACATGGTCTCTGACAGACAATCCTAATGCAGCAATTCACTCCACAAACTCAAGTGTCTTATCAGTTTTACGGAGGGAGAGAAAACAGCAAAGTCTTCTCTTATTTTATGATCCCTGTTTTAAACGCTCTATTTGCTCCAACAAATACATACCCTTTCTTGAAAACTTGCAGAGCTAGAGGGACAAATGATCAAATAGTTTTAGTGAAATCGCAGCGCATTTAACCAAAATCTTAAAGAGGAGATCTTTTTAGACACACTAGCAGTTATCTCGTATACGTTGAGCGTTAAGAAGACCGACTGAAACCTTGTCATTCATTCACAGTGGGCTTGATGATGCATTTAATAAACTAATAAAATACCAGGAGTTCTTTCCTGGCTGTAGAAAGTCATAAGCGCGAACAAAATATATTTTACCAGTTTTTGTCTTTATTCCATACCAGAAAACATATCACCGTAAACGAACAGTGTTTCACAACTGAACTACCAGCCTCTGCGGACATGGCAACAACCGGATTTTATCACTCAAATTCAAGTTCTTTATCAAGGAAAACGACTTGTGACTTTGGGAAAGAAATTCAAGAATTTCCACTTTGATCAATAGGCCGTCTCATCATTCTTTAGAACAGTGTGCAGACAACTAGGGTATGTTCTCTTGTCTGCCACCCTAATCAAATTTTCGCCCTTTGAAATGTTAAGCATATCATTAAAGAATTCCGTAAGGGATGAATCATCACATTTCCATTTGCGAATATCTATCCTAGTTTGGGACATAATTGTTTTTGTGGGTTAGTTTACAAGAGGAATCTAATCAGTCAATAGAATAAAGGGTTAAGTTTCTAAAGAAACTGTGATGCTGCGTCGGTGGGAGAGTATAGCAGGTAATTTAGTGTTAACAACTGGGTTGAAAGCGTAAATTAGCCACCGTAAAGGGTAAAAAAGCTGACGTTTCGAGCGTTAGCCCTTCGTCTAATCGCTCTGACGAAGGGCTAACGCTCGAAACGTCAGCTTTTTTACCCTTTACGGTGGCTAATTTACGTTTTCAACCCAGTTGTTAACACTAAATTACCTGCTAATCAGTCAATATGCTGCAACAGCCATTGAAACATGGTAAACTAATACTTTTACGAAAGTAAGCGGTTGCATCAGGCCCGAAAGTGGACTTCGATACCTTTACTATTTGTCAGATCAAGCGAAAGAAGCTATACTGAAAATATAGATATGAAAAATCATCGTAGGCCTAGAAATCCTCGAGCATAGGAGAAGGTCTGCGACAATTCGATTCCCAGCGCAACTTAAGAGATAGTTGTGTTACATATAGCTGTAGAAATAATGTAAAAGCAGTCTGTATCTCTTCACAAAATAAAAACTTACATTCTAAGGGTACTTTTTGCGATCTAATATTTAATGATAGCACTGAAATAGCAAAGCTTAAAAAATCGTTAGAAAAGAAAAGAACAATTGTATTAAGAACAAAACAGATAAACTCTATCTCATGACATGTGGCGTTCCATTAGAATTTTTCTGAATTAAATTTGGTGTGATGAAAAGATTATTTTCCTTAAATTATGTGTGGTGACATTTTACTCGTATTATTGCAAAAAAAATTAAAAAGTCTGCGACTAATGAAACATTTCTGATATCAACTGGCTGCGATAAATTTTATTTAAAAGAAAAATGTGGTCGAATCAATGACGCCGCCATTAATCTAATTTGCGTATTCTAAAAATCTGAACCTCTTGAATTAAGAGATTGAAAAAAGTAATCGGTGTTTTCCTGTTGTACAAACTAACTCATTTATGTAGACTTTAGGCCTCGCGCATAAATTTCACTGGTCTAATTTTCATTTCAGTTGATGTTGGAGCGCTGCTGGCGGCACTGGTAGGAACTAATCTTCCCCAATGAATATCGGCCCAGGTTTTATATCCACAACGCGGATAAATACCATTGAGATTTGACCAAACAGCACATTTACTACTGTTGCCATACCACCAGCCTCCACCTCTTTTTTGAGTACAACCAGCGGGATCTCTATCCCAGGTACCGAATATGAAATCTCCGTGAGGACTTAGGGAATCAGGGGAAACAGTGGCATCTGTTTTGAAACAGAACAAAAAAAAATTCGCATAATTCTAGGATCCGTAAAATGCCTTCGTAGCTTTAACCTTTTCGTTTTCCGCCAAAAAAAGAGAAAAAAAAAAGGAAAAAAGAAAAAAGAATTGAAAAAAAAAAAAATAAGGTTAGTAAATAGTTTATTAGTTGGCACTCGGACCAAAATCCCGACCGAGTAAGAGCCAATCAGAACGTTCGGGTTTACCTCAGGAGTACCTTGCCATTTGATAATGCCACTATTTGACAAAGTGGAGTAAAATTGATTTTAAGATTTAGGTGAGAGAGAAGTAATATATGGGAATCGAACAATGAATGCTAAATAAACGGGTTACTTACTTATAAAACTGCCAATGTACAGCTTGTACTCAGCTGTCTCGTTCCCAATGCCAAACCAGCTATACTCAGGGTGAACAGTTTTCCCATTTTTTACTCCCAGATCTACTCGAAGCTTGTTTTTTGTCTTATTTCTTGTGAGACGGTTTATCTTATCCAGTCCGAGCCAGAACTCACCGACCAAATTACCGAAGCCATGTTTGTATTCATTCCAGGTGCGGTTGAAATCAACCGAGCCATCCATTCTCTTCTGGATCACTGTCCATCCCCCACCAGCTGTTGTATGGTCACAATATACATTGAAGGCGCCTGAACCATCTGGGTCGATTGTGTAAACACCGCTGATCCTTCGACCGGATTTGTACAGTTCAGCACAGTTTTTAGCTATTGAAGATAAAATAAAGATGCTTGATGTTGTGAGCATGCTCTAAAACAGGGAGTTTGATATGAATGTGCTCCTATCATCGGACGAAGTATCTGTCGTGGAGAGAAGACGACGGGACTTGGATTCTTCATAAATCTTTTATCTTCAAAAAGCGCATCAAATTAGAACACGAGGATTAAAAACAAGTAACTTGGGAAAAACTCGACAAATAACTCAATTCAAGAAAAATTTAGAGCATTTAAAATTATTCGGTTTTCAATGTTCAGAAACACTGCAGCTTGAAAAGACAGTTGCGGAAGATAAGAGCTCCAAGCATGTAAGAAATTTTGTCATCCAAATTCGCAAAGTAATTCCTGAAGATAGGAATTGAAATCGCCATGCATAAGACCATCGCTTTTCATGCTACACAATATAATGATAAAGTTAAAATGGAATAATCAGTTCAATTAGAAATAGAGTCTCACTTACATCTTACCAATGTTATGTTCTCCGTCAGAATTTTAATCCCAAATCGAACTTGGGTCAGTTCCTTCATAATTTGTTCTAAGCAGACAGCAGTGTTCTTCTGGCAATCTATTGGAGCTGCACTGGTTGATGGTATAATTTGATAAATCGCAAAAAGTGCCGAGAGCAGCAGAGCTGCACCTGAAGAGAATCAAAGTGCTCTGTGAGCAAACTCGTGAATTGACACATGATTTTTTAGATTATGTTTAATGTTATCTGGTTTAGGGAATTTTGTGGTTGATTGTCTTATCTAGAGTACGAGCAGTAGTTCAGTGTTCGCTAATGTGGCAAAGAAACAAAGTAACGTTGGGATAAGAAGGCATTACAATTGAAATGATCATGCTATTACATTTGACAAGGTGGATGATGTCATGTGTTTTAAACGTCTATCATTTTTGTTTCTGGTTCAAAAGAAAAGGTTGGGAGTAAATGTGGGTGAAAAGTGAAATTTACTGTCTTTCGTTGTAAATATTAGAAAATCAAGGCAATACTGTCTTAATGAAAACATTAACGATTCCCTCTTTATCAAATGAGACAAACGGGAACGAGTTTTGAGTGATATAACTAAGCAAAGCCTGCCACCGTCATTTTGGATCTCCGCCTGGGTAGATTTAAGTCACGTGCTAGGCAACGTATAATCAATAACAAGAGAGAATTTCATTTCAGGCCTATTTATCAATTTTGTGGTGTGTAACTTTCGCATTTTAGTACGTTGTATGTATGTTGAATCTTCAAATTGTCTTGAAACTTAAAAAAGAAAATTGTTCTTTAAAAATTCACTGAAAATCGGTAGCTAAAATTGTTTGTTTAGGTGTTATTTGATTTTCGTGTTAACTTGTTATTTCGTCAGTCGCCGGCATCTTCTGTTGCTTCACACAGGAAAAACACACGCAACGAAACGTAATGATCAATTTTGTCCTCAATCTCATGCTATAACAGAAAAAGCTTTTGAACATCTGTAAACTCCGAGCGATTTGCAGTAAGTGATATTTTCAATGAATATTCGGATTGTTTTCAAGTTCAAGGATTGTAAATTACAATTTTATGAAAAACGAAGGTTGTTCTGTTATTTCAGTGTGAATCCTTGCATGCCTGCCAGTCGCTGGCGCCGCTTGTTGAAACTAAAACGAAAAAAAAAACTCTTTTAAGATTATCATTGGCTTCTTTTTCACCCCACCACTATTCTTAGCAACAAAGGTCGCCATTTCGTCTGTTTATTGCTCGCCAAAAACTATAAATTGCATTCAAAAGCCTAAAATCTAAAAAAAGTTTACAGGAATCGACCAATCGAGCGAGCGAATGCCATTCCCCACATCGTATCTATAACTCGCTCTTGCGCATGCGCGCAATTCACGAGTTAAAAAGACATTGTGCGTAGTGAAGTCATTCAAGCTATGATATTTAATGTTCAGTGCCACGCACGTTACAGAATGAAATAAACAACCGACAGAACTTAACAAGGTATTGGTGCTTTCGATCGAGAAAACTCGATGTAGATTTTGAAATCCGGATTTTGCACAAAGTGAAATGCAAAAAAATTGAGCGTTTGTAACAGTACGTTACGTTTGATAATACAGAGTGGACTTTTCGAAAGTTCTTGCTGTTTGCAAGCTTAAGAATCGCATACAACCTCAATGGGTTAGAAATTGGGGTTAAATGACATAGATGTGCAAAAAGTCCTATATTCGAGACAAGCATTGGATCTAAGGACCGATTCAGTTTTCGACGAAAGTCTCTTTGAGATGCGATTGTTCATCAAAGAGGCAGATTTCACATACCCGTTCCTTGTTGAATACCTCTCATTGTCATTCTTCTGGTGTTGCATGCGCTATCACCTAGAAACACTGCGAAAAAATGCATAATGGCAAGGTTTTGTCAAAACTGATTGCGCTCAACCTTCTGCTGAGTTATAAGAAGCTGACAGGGTTGCGTGCGCACATGCTCTATGCATTAATGCCCCTTAAAGTTGAGGGAGTACTTCCGTTATCGCCAGACACAACACTAATTGTATTAATTTCTTACAGAATGATCGTCGAGAGTGACCCGTTAAATTGATTACCGTTTCGGCCAATCCTCGGTAAGTTATGTCCAGAAAGTTTTCAAACGCAGTTAAAATTGCACAAAATATACCTTATAGGATTTTACCGAAAAGGTTCCATTCTTAAACGTAAGAAAGGGAAACTTTTGTTTTGTTGGAAGGATGATATACCTAACTGGATAACAATAATTTTTTCCAGGCCGTGCGAGTTCGTGAGAATTGCGTGTAGCGTTCAGGAAGAAATTGTGATCGGTTTCGACTTCAGTGATGGGATTTGTGATTAAATGGTGTAAGGTTAAATAGCGATTTTTATAGGTGTTTTAAAGTACAAATTTTCATCGCATTAGAGGCCTGAAAGTGATCACTTTCATTTTCTCAGTCGCATGAATAACTATGAATATTGACATGGAAATATTTTCCTTCTGATGCACTACCTTAATAGAATGGGCAGGAGAGACACAACTGTCTGTTCAATCTCTAATGACCTTAAGATCCTGGATGAAAAACGTTAGCACGGGGAACTGACGTATTGTTTGAACAGACACCACTCTTTCGTGGAAACGAAAGACGATATTCTTAACAGAATAGCAAGAATCTTTTTAGCGCGAACTTTGTATAATTGAGAGGAAGAATTTGTGATACGTTTAAAACCAATTACAAATAAATTACTTTAACATCATGTCTTCTTCTATCTGCCATCGAGTAGATGCCATAAGATGCTAGAGATCTTCTCTTTGATTCTAGAGAGTTTTTGTTCAGTGTGTTGTTTCAAAAGAATCCTCAATCCTCTCCATTTCATTATTACCTTTGAAAAAGCGAAAGCGCATATACCTTATGACTGCATATGCTATCAGTGGCAAACTAATATTATAGCGGATCAGAGCATAAAATGCAGAGGCCTAAGGAATCATGTCATAAATCGATAAATAAATATACAGCATATACCGATGAACTGATTTATGTCAAAGCATTCGATGAGCTTACTTTTTCATCTGGGGATATCTTTCACTTGAGTCATGTGGCGTAGGAACACAACCTATTCTAAATGGTCGTGTTATCTTCATTCAAGATAGCTCGCTAAGGCGGAATGAGAATGGAAAGAATATCAGGGACTACGATTATTGAAGGAGAAAGCTCAACACACACTTGCATCTGTATCCCAATAGCTTGCTGATACTGTATCTCAGAGATACAGTATCCATCATGTTTTAAAATGGTATCCGTTGCTAAATGTTGAAATTTTGGCTAATTAATCTTCAGAGCTGTGAAACAAAACAAAATTGTGATTTTCCTGTTGACTAAAATTTCGAGCTTCGTAGTAGTTGCAGAGTACATCATTGACCTCCTAGTGCCATTTCGTGAGAATTGCGTAAGGTGAAGAGTGAGAATTTGAGATAAGTTATTAATGAGATTCAAGATTAAATGGTAAAAATATCGGTTAATCCTTAGAGCTATTACAGTTTTTTTTTTCTTGTTGGTCAGAATGTTGAGTTTGGTAATTGCGCCGAATTTAAGCGCAAACTGTTAGTGCACGGTTTCTGTTAATATTACATTAATACTACATTATATTATTATATTAATGATTATTATATTATTATATTATTATATTATGAATTATTTTTTCTCTTTTTAGCCTTGTTCTTGCTGTAACTTTTAAAATTAGTAATTAGGATCGGAGATACTAGCTTGTAAGCTACACTGAAATCCGAGGATAAATACTTATGTATGCATGTATGTATGTATGTATTGCATGGTACATCTCTGACCCCCAGAAAAATATTTTCCCTCATCAGATGCATGAAGAGAAATAAAATTTCTGAGAAAATCAGCTTGCATTGAGAAATTCTATTTAATACATTTATTTCAATAATCAAGAGCGATAAAACTGAGCTATACATTGGTATTTGACACTTCAAAAGTGCTTGATGGCAAGGTGGTCGTCCTAATTCCATTCCTTGATCAGGCACTCCTAAATGCAGACCACACGTACAGACTATTTAAACCAAAATAGTTGCCTTCTTTTAACCTTCTTCAATCAATTTGTTACCCATCATTCAAATCATTGTCTATTTCATACAGCTATGATGCCTGCAAATGTTAGAATCAATACAAATGTAGACTATATTTCTTGACTTTTCTTTCTCAGTCCATGATGAATATCTGAATTAGTTT